GAGTGAAATGCAGTCATAATATGGTGGACTTTGGACTGTGAAATTGTGAAAACTGTTCCACCAAAATAACAACTGACGGGCCACAATTTTAGGAAACCATGCTTTAGATGAAACACCGCCACCTGGCCTTTAGGAAGAAAACTACAGGTAGGAAAAACATGATTGAGTTTTTCAGGAAAAAATAAATAAATATCGGTATTTTTTTAACATCTAATTTTAGAGTATATGTGAATGTTTTATAATTTTACATTTTATACTTTGGATAAATGGTATGTCCATCCTTTAAAATGGATTACTCCACTTCCCATTAGAGTCTGTGGGTGGGAGAAAGAAAGTTATTTTCCTTTAGGAATGCGGAAAAGGATTTTTTTCCCCCTGCAGCCCCGGATTTTCCAGCGATCCAAACCTCCTGGGTGTTTTTACCTCACATAAAAAGGTAACTTTTGGTTTTATTTGTCTCCTTGATGCCGGGCCAGTGTTTTTGCATGCTGATGTTTTCCGCTAACAACATGATTGATCTTTAAGTGGCAGTTTTTACTTTACTCTAAAAACTCACTATTGGATTTTTTTAAATGTTTCCGACGCATGGATCTACCCAAATCTGTGTAAAAGTTAAAAATAAATTATTTCTAAGTGGTTTTTAACAGCTTGGTAATCAGCGAAGGTTTTCTACGAAATCATGGTCCGTTAATTCACTGCATTCCTTCAGATTAATTCTGGAACATAGATAACATTTCAATTTACATGATCATAATAAAGAAGTACATTTTTAACGGGATGTGAAAATGACCTGAAAGTTATGGAAGAGGATTAGGGCCACTGGAAAAAAAAAAAAAGAAAGTTAAGTGATTTTTAAATATTATTTTTTCCCATATTATACGGAAAAAAGTCGGAATTCTGAGAAAAAAGTGAGAATTCTGAGATAAAAGTCAGAATTCTGAGGGGAACAAAAGTCTGAATTCTGAGATTAAAGTTGGAATTCTGAGAAAAAAGTCAGAATTCTGAGATTAAATTCATATTTCTGAGAAAAAAAGTCAGAATTCTGAGATTAAAGTCAGAATTCTGAGGGGGAAAAGGGCAGAATCCTAAGAAGATGACCATATTAAACTGAAATAATATTTAAAAAACTGTTAACTTGTTTTATTTTGCAGTGGCCCTAATCCTCTTCCGTAGAAAGTACACGGTGAAATCTTGCTGAAAATTCATAAAGTGTGGACACACAACAGGAAGAGAAAGAGGTTACAGTGTGTATAAACTTGCTACAGAATAAAGCCCTGCAGTAAGACTTGGATTGAAAAGCGGTTCTCATACCTTAGATAAAGTTTCCCAAGCATCACCATCTTCATAGGTTTCTAGAGGTAATGGTAGCGGAGGTGGTGCTGTTCATATTGTCATGACTTTTTTCCTGGCACAAATGCTCTTATGCAATTTACTTCAGTTGACTTACAGCAACAATTTAGACTCAAACATTGGTATTTATTTTATTTTATTTTTTCAAGAAAGTCATAGGTGTTTTATACATATGCTTGATAGCTAAACAACCAATTGGCTAAAAACGCTTCCAGGACTGTTCTCATCAAAAACATGGAAAGAAATAACTAAATAAATGAACAACAAAAATTTTTTTTTTTCTTATTTCTATATGACTTTTCAATTTTTTTTCAGAAATTCTTAAAAAGCCAGAGTTTAAACTTGGAAATTACCAGGTTTCATACAGTACCAGCTTTGTCTATAACCCAATATGGCCACCTTGCATTTTTATTGATAGATTGACTTAATTGATCTCACAGTGAAGAAATTTACTTTAGATCAGCAAAAATAGTCA